GCTTTCAAATCGAGAAGTAAAATAACCTAATTCATTTATCATTTGCTCATCTTTCAGCAAACCACAACTTTTCATCATATCCTAATAGGTTGATTTGTGTTGGATACACATAGAATGACTGCATCTTAATTACAGACTCCCAGTTCTGAGCTGTAACAGACTTTGGTGATTTGTGATGATTCACAATAGGCATTTTTCAAAAGACCCAATTTCATTTTGTAGATTTACACTCATCCACAAATAAAATGTACAAAGCATTACAAGTCATTGATTTTATTCCTAACCAGATCTGTACTAACCACATCTTATTAAATTAGCCAGATCTGTACCGATGGAACTGAGGTTAGCATCCAAGTCTCAGTCCATGCTCCGTGTTAATGTTCAACTGAATTCACAATAATCCAAAGAGGGCTTCAAAACCTGTGAGAAAACTGCAAAAAAAAAAAAGAGTTGTGTTTTAGAAAGGCTGCGGTCTGGCCGGTATGGGTTGATGGTTGAGTGTGACCAGGAGCTCACGGTTCGATTCCTGGTCCAGGCATATGCCCAGGTTGCTGGCTCGATCCCCAGTTGGGGGCGTGCAGTAGGCAGCCGATCAATGATTCTCTCATCATTGATGTTTCTATCTCTCCCTCTCCCTTCCTCTCTGAAATCAATAAATACATATTTTTTAAAAAAGAAAAAAAGGCCTTTAGAAAAAAAAAAAAGGTTAAGAACATGACCTGAGCGAAACATATGCCTGGGACTTAGCTGGCCCAGAAGCCCTCAAAGAAAAATAAATGACATGTCAGGCTTGGTGCAGAGACCAGGTTGTTTTCAAATTTTAAGCACTTTGCAGTTAATTACTCAGAGCCACTTACTTATATTATTCCTATTTGTTTCACCTGATTTTATCTTTCTTTAGTCTCTTCTGCCTAACCACAGGCAGAAGACTCTCCCTCCCCCACACAGGGAAAGGTGAACTATTTATCACTATTTCTACTCTTTAGCTCAGTGTTCAAGCAGCCCTTTCCTTACAGTATCCCCACCTTCACTCCTCTTATCTGAGACTTCACTAACATTTAACTTACGAAGTTTGCAAGGGTCTTGCTTAAGTGTCTTCTGTGAATTACCAACTCTGGCCCCCCAAATGAAGTGGGAGAACTAACCCGAACTAACCCTCTAAGTCAGTGGTTCTCAACCTTCCTAATGCCGCGACCCTTTAATACAGTTCCTCAAGGTGTGGTGACCCCCAACCATAAAATTATTTTCGTTGCTACTTCATAACTGTAATGTTGCTACTGTTATGAATCGTAATGTAAATATCTGATATGCAGGATGTATTTTCATTGTTACAAATTGAACATAATTAAAGCATAGTGATTAATCACAAAAACAATATGTAATTATATATGTGTTTTCTGATGGTCTTAGGTGACCCCTGTGAAAGGGTCGTTCGACCCCCAAAGGGGTCGCGACCCACAGGTTGAGAACCGCTGCTCTAAGTGATGTGCCTCATCTCTTAAATACAACGAGACCAAATGGGCAAGAAGGGACTATGTCTGCTATGGTGTAAGTCACAGGGGAAGGCAAATTCTAGAAGCTAAAGTTGTCCAATGAAGAATATCTGCCCTTCTGGACATTTCACTACTGTTTACCCACAAACAAGGGAGAAATACACTCAGTGCCATCTACTCAGCCTTTATTTCCAGAAAGACAAAGATTAGAATAAAGATTGCCATCTCAATTAAATGAAACATCATCTGAACTCCAGAACTACCAAAGAAAAAGCCAGAAAAAGATCACTAGTTTGCCAAACTGTTCTTGACCCACTTTCAACCAAGTCAGTGTAATCGCTAGTCTGAAGTCAGCCTGTTTAGCAGCCGCTCAAGAAATTAGTTCAGTTCTTGGAATGACTTAAGTGGTCAATTCACAGCCCAGAGTGAACCCAAACCTTCCGTTTCATTTGGAAAACACTTCATATATACCAGGCGCCGTGCTAAATGGCACCTCATCACATTTAACCTCCTGAACAACTCTGAGTGGCATTACTGTCCATCCTCAGAGAGGGCAAGGTCACCGGGCGGGTAATGAGAGAAGCTGAACTCAGGCCTGTCCAATGTCAAAGCCCTTAAGCTCCTTTTAAGCTGTATCACTAATCAGGGCTGAAAACTGTGTTGGGCAATAGAGGCCACTATGCATCAGACTGACCTCTGACATGGGAAGACCACCCACTCTATGTAGAATAGTCCACTGCTACCGCTTGTTACTCTCTTTCCTTATTCTACTTTATCCTAACAGTTATCTCCAAAAGTACACTCATTCATTGAACAAAGACTGATTGTGCTTCTACTGTATTCTAGGCACTGAAAACACAGCAGTGAACTAGACACACAACCATCTCTACCCTCACAGAGCTGACATTTACTTAACTTACTCCTATTTGTCTCCGTATCAAAATCTCCATATAATACATCTTGCTTACTATACATTTCCAGCACCTAGAACAGCTTCTGGTACGTGGGTTCAACAGACAGCAATTCCATCCATGACATCCTCAGCAATGGTGTAGAAAACTGGTCAAACAATTCACCAAACGGGTTTGATTGCCATGCAGAGTTCTTTATAGTGCATTGTCTTAGTGCTATACTATGAAGTTCTATAAAATTTTAAATAAAATCTTTAAGACATTCCATATTTTTAAAATGTAGAAACAAGCCAAGTTTACTCATCTTTAAGAGTTAATTTTTCTGGGTAAAAAAAAAAAACACACACCCCAGTAAGATACCCAGAATACTATATATAAGGCAGTAAATGCAGATGAGAAAAAAAAAGAATTTTAAAATAGATATTTGCAAAATAAAAATAAAATAAAATAAACCTAATCTGAATCAGGTTCCTTCTTCTTTCTTCTTGACCCTTTGGAGGAAGTCCCAGGCGCTGTCCTGTCTTTGCCATGCTCAGTCCGCTGTGTCAGCCACTCCTTCTCCAGCTGTTTCAGCATGTCTGCAGTGAGGAGTCCTTGCTGCACCAACCTGGAAGCAAGGGATTTCTCTTCCGCACTGGGGCTGGGTGGCTCAACAGCTTTATACCCTAAAGTTTTGGTACCGCGCATCCTTCTTGCTTGGCTCTTCAATGTTCCTGGCAAACGAGACCGGCTGTCTGCTGACACATTCTCCAAATTCAACAGCCTTTGTGCCTCTGAAATTTTAATCAGTTTGGTGATGTTGTGTACACCCTCTTGGATAATGCCATCTAGCTCTTTCTGCAGGTCTCGAACAAGGCTGGCATCTGGAAACATATCTATAAACCGATAGCTGGGAAAAAGACATTACATTATAGCAACAGCTCTTATCACAGTCGCTGAACCACTACAATAATATCAATGACGAAACTACATCTTGACACTGATTAATTCCAAATGTTGTTTATGCAAAATTTGTTTTGTCTTTGCTCAACTTTTACTTCTGCCCCAACATATCTGAGGAGTACATCATTATGAGGATGGGTCACCACTCCCCCCGACCTGATTCCAATATGCCCCCTCGTGGGACATGCCCCCCCCCCCTTTGAGTTACTGAGCTAGAATGGTACAGCAGGCCCTCCAATAACGTCGCTTTGTATAACACTGTCTCATCATAATACTGATGAGATGCCATAGGAACTTAACTCTGGTTTATATCGATTAGCCTCTGGTAAAATTGGTTTTGTTAAACATTCTTTTGCTTAAAGTCGCAGGACCATTAATTGAGGATTTTAATTAACCTCTCAAATGTTAACATATAAATGAATCACCTGGGGAATATAGTTAAAATGCAGAATTTGATTAAGTCTGATATTCTCTATTTCTAATAAGCTTCCACCCATTGAGTAGCAAGGATCTAGCGGACCTTCTCACCCACCCATCCTAACTAGAATCCTAAGAATGCTTTAAGTCATTTTTGGAATGGGGATTAACCAGGCTCAACTGCCTTTATGGACAAAAAACATAATATAGAGCACCCTGCAAATATGTGCCTATTATGAAAGAGCCAAAGACCCTTCATAAAACCTTTGATTTGCCCTATTACTTTAAAAATGAGAGCACATAAAGGAAATATTTGATACCTTAGCCACAGGTAAAGATCCAAGACATCGTGGACAGCTTCAAGATCCATGAGGTCTTTAATATTATTAGGTGGATGTAATGGCCATTTAATATATCGGCGTAACCATGCAAAGGTCAAGGGCTCGTTCCTGCTATACTGCCTGGCAAACTGAGAGAAGCAGAAGAAAAGGATCAGACTCACTTAAGCCTGTGATTAGAAAAAAAAGGAAGCACAAGAAATGTTAACTGTAATTGTGTTTCAATAGGCAGGATGCTTTCTTTCCTTCTTTATACTTTTCTGTATTTTAAAGAACATTTAATATTTTGTAAAGGTAACTTTTTAAAAGGTAGGGGAATGACATCCTTCTTTTTACAAAATCAATCCTCAGAGGCCATCAATAGCTCTTTTGAAGTTCAGCAATAATGGAGATCAAGGAAAAATCTCTAGATTTCAAATTCTCATCATTAAACAGAACACATAAGCAACTGTTAAACTGTCCTTTCTCCTTAGTAAATGCTTCTGCTTCATTAGAATAATTTGAAGAATGGTGTAAATGGGTTCAGACATGGGCTCAAACTCCATCTACGTCAGTCTGCAGCATTTAAGACCTCTGTTCCATAAACATCAACCTTACGCTAGCTAACTCTAACAAATGCCAGCTCTAAGAAACATATTTCCTAGGTAAATACCTGGACAGGGAAGACCTCTAAGACATAATAAGGGGAAAAGAAAACAGCAAGTTGCAGAAAAATTCATTATAGCATTTATGGGAAAACACCCCCACAACAAAACTAGAATTCCTACATGTATACCTATGTAGGCAAATGCAACTGGAAAGGTCTGCAAGATTACATACAAACTGATAATAGTTATGCCATAGAACTAAGATTGAAGGAGGTAGCCCAATTTATCCTATCGTAATGTTTTAATTTTGTGCAAAGAGAAAGTATTTCTGTATTATTTATGTAATTTAAAAATAATTTTGAATTTAGAAATAGAGTTGATAAAAACAGAGCTAATATGCAGAATGATAAGGTCTATAAAGAAATGGCAGCGGAACTACAACCATGAGTCAGGAAGAGATTCAGAGAGGAGACCTTTGGGTTTAGTGTGCTGACAAGGGAGAGCAAGGGCCCAGAGAGGTGAGGACACAGTGTCCACTGCCCTTCCCGGGCCCTCTGTTATGGTGACTTCTGTGCTCCTCAGAATTGTATCCCTACTCACATGAGTGAAAATAAAAGGAACCAGAACTCTGGCACCAAACTCATGCAAGACAACATTCCCTGGCTCAGTGTCTTATGGTTAAGAAAACTGAATACTATTGCCACTACTAAACCCCTGGCCCCTCCCTTCCAAAAATATTACCCATCACCAATAAGGAAAAAGTGTATCATCAGGCAAAGACCCCCTTCCCTTGAAAAAAATTGTATTTAATTATTATTGTTTTAGCTTCTTCACAAAGGCTACCACAGAAGCCCAAATACAAAGCAAAAAATTATTTGTAAGAAAAAGAGAGTCACTTTATATTTAAGTTCTTATATTATCTCATATTAAAGGACAGTCTCCAACTGTTTTGAGTAACAAAGTACTGTTTGGGGAAAATACAACTAAAAACAACTCAAAATATCCTAAAGATGCAGGCTTACCTGTAACAGTGAAGAGCAGACGAAAGGCTGCTTCTTGTTGATAGGGGCTGTGCAGAACACATACCTCACTCGCAGGCTTAATGGAATATGCTGGATCAACTCCGCAGAAAACTTAAAATCATCCAGATTGCAGACAAAATACTGCCCATCAACTTGTGAAAAGTCTACAAAAATATCCTAGGGGGGAAAAAGACATATTAAATTACTGGACTGCCTAACTGGGCATGAATAAAGTACTCACATCTACAAACAACCACCTCTTTAACCCATAACAGACTTCTAGAAAGGCCTGCTTTATTCATTGCCCCCTCAAGCTAATAATTCCTCCATAACCTTCCCAACCTAAAATACTCAGACAAAAGTCCCAAACGATTTTGAAAGTTTTCACTTTCAACATAAACTTCATATATAGCAACTTCACAAAAACAGCCTATCCATTCATGCCCATGAGGTTAACTAGTAATTATCTGACGTATTAACATTTTTGTTTTTTATTTTCTTTTTGAGCATTTTTATGAATTATTTGAGCCAAAACTGATGACAGTTGCAGGGAAGCAAGGTTTCAAATGCTGCAATTTTTTATTTTTCAATTATAGTAGATGTACAATATTATATTAGTGTACAACCCAGGGATTAGACATTTAATAACTTATGAAGTGATCATCCTGATAAACCTAGTACCCATCTGACACCATACATGGTTATTAAAAATTATTGATTAAATTCCTCTTGCTGTACTATATATCCCCATGACCATAATTACCAATTTGTACTTCTTTTTTTAAAATATATTTTATTGATATTTAACAATAAAATCAATACCCTTCCTTACAGAGAGGAAGGGAGAGGGATAGAGAGTTAGAAACATCCATGAGAGAGAAACATCGATCAGCTGCCTCCTGCGCACCCCTACTGGGATGCACCCGCAACCAAGGTACATGCCCTTGACCAGAATCGAACCTGAGACCCTTCAGTCCCTCAGACTGACGCTCTATCCACTGAGCCAAATCGGTTAGGGCCAATTTGTACTTCTTAATCCCTTCATCTTTTTCACCAATTCCCCCAACTCCACTCCCATCAGGCAACTGTCAAAATATTCTCTATATCTATGAGTCTGTTTCTGTTCTACTTGTTCATTTATTTTATTTTTAGATTCCACATATAAGTGAAGTCTATGGCATTTGCCTTTCTCTTTCTGACTTATTTCACTCAGCAAAATACCCTCTAGGCCCATCCATGTTGTTGCAGATGGCAAGATTTCATTCCATATGGCTGCATCATATTTCACTGTGCACATGCACCACTTCTTCATCCACTCATCTCTCGATGGACACTTAGAATCAAAGGACAGATAAAGAGCTTCCCAAACAAGAAAAAGCTAAAGGAGTTCATCATCATTAGACCAGTATTACAAGAAATGTTAGAGTCAAGAAGAAGAAGAAAGAAAAAGAAAGAAGAGGGAGAAGAGAAAGAGGGGAAAAAAGAAAATATCAAAAACATAAATACAAATGGATTAAATGCTCCAATCAAAAGATGCATGGTAGCTGAATGGATAACAAAAGACCCTCACCTATGCTGCCTACAAGAGACTCACTTGAGCGAGAAAGACACATATACTCAAAGCAAAGAGATGGGAAAAGGCATTTCACAAAAATGGAAACAAACAAAAAGCTGGGGAAGCAATACTTATACCAGACAAAATAGACTTTAAAACAAAGGTTATAACAAGAGACACAAAAAGATCCAGCAATGCCACTTTAGGGTACTGTATTTACCTGAAGAAACCTAAAACACTAAATCAAAAAAGACATGTGCAGCCATGTGCAAACATATTCATTGCAGTATTGTTTACAATAGCCAACATATCAATACTTTTGGAAAGGGATTTAAAGTGATTTTCTACTTACAATGAGATTAGACAGTGTTGTATCAGGCAGATGGTAGGCAAACATTTCAATCTGTTCAGCAGTTGGATGAAGACCAGCTGCCTTTAGTAAAAGAAAAAAACAATCATAAGCTTATTTTTAAAAAATATATTTTTATTGATTTCAGAGAGGAAGGGAGAGGGAGAGAGAGAAAGATCAATGATGAGAGAGAATCATTGATTGGCTGCCTCCTGCACGCCCCCTACCGGGGATCGAGCCTACAACCCCGGGCATGTGCCCTTGACCGGAATCGAACCTGGAACCCTTTGGTCCGCAGGCCGACACTCTATCCAGAGCCAAACCAGCTAGGGCAAGCTTATTTTTTTTAAAGGAGAAGTTTTCCTAAGTTAATTCAAAATAAAGTCTTGAGTAAAGAATTTGAGTAAAATAGAGAAAAGCATCATCATTTTCCCATTTATTACCAATTTAAGAAGCTAATGAGATGATTTAATAAAACTAACCAATTATACCCACTGAGTAGTCAATCTTTTATTCACATTTTAGTTATACAGTGTCTGACACATAAATACATGAAAAATGTCTAAACTGGAGGTCAGGTATCTCTTTAACTGTATACTGCAGTGTTACGGAATGCCTACAGGTGAGTATAAGCTGGGGGGGAAAGGGAATGGGAAAGAGGATAGGAGAGCGATGTCAATCACGGTCGGAGGAAGAGAATGAGCACAAGAAATGAGGTTCTGTGCACACGAGGGAAATGGTGTGTCATTACCAACTGCACTCAACAAAAGCTACAGAAATTATTTCAGCCTCAGCTTCCCTCTAAAAACTTTTCCTGTGTTATCTCACTTACATTCCCCTTTGCCCAGGGCCACTGAAAAATGAAAAGAGCCACATTTAGAAAGATTTCCAGGCAACTTTAAATTGTAACAGTTAGGCCCAGCTGGTGTGGCTCAGTTGGTTGAGCATCAACCAGGAGGTCACAGTTGATTATGGTCAGGCAACATGCCTGGGTTTCGGGGTCCATCCCCAGTAGGGGGCGCAAGGGAGGCATCCAATTGATGTTTCTCTCTCATCATTGATGTTTCTATCTCTCTCCCTCTCCCTTCCTCTCTCTGAAATCAATAAAAACATATTTTTTAAAAACTGTAACAGTTAGTTTGTTGAAAATATGTACACTTCTGTCTCATTAACTACATTTGTCCTTATTGACTCACAATTGTGTTGCTTAGTGCTGTTTTTGCCCCACACTAAGGGTTTCTTCTACATTCAAGCTCCTGACAAGTTTTCAGTCTGCTTACATAGCTGAGTGTCCACCTGAAGCAACTGTGCCCCTGCCCCCACCTTCTGCTTGGTTATAGGAAGAACGAAAGGAAATTAGGTTCACTAAACTTTTCAATCTGGATTTTTCACCTGCACACCATTCTCAACCAGGAGTCTCTATTCTCCTCCAAAGCAATAAAGTAGGGCTTGCTTGCCTTCTTTCTTTAATATATTTTTATTGATTTCAGAGAGGAAGGGAGAGGGAGAGAGAGAGATAGGAACATCAATGATGAGAGAGAATCATTGACTGGCTGCTTCCTGCATGCCCCCCCACTAGGGATCGAGCCTGCAACCCAGGCATGTGCCCTTGACCGGAATCAAACCCAGGACCCTTCAGTCCACAGGCCGATGCTCCATCCACTGAGCCAAACCAGCTAGGGCAAGTAGTGCTTTCTTGACATAATTTTCATGGTATAAAATTTCTCTTTTGTTACCAAGTGTCTGAGGCAAGAGTCTGGAGGGAGGGTGAAGGATGGCATGACTGTCCTCCAAAGGGGAGTAATTAACCTTACCTTTATAGGATCGACAGGCTTATTCAAAATCTCCTTTAATAAACGGAGGTCTTCTCGATTCATTGTTGTAACCTCTCCTTCTTTATATTTCGAACTGAATCTACCAGCTCTGCCAGCAATCTGCAAGGCTTGAGAAGTGGTGATTGGTTCTAGTTCCTTCTCTCCCTTTTCATTGATACTGGGCTTTATAAGGGAATAAAAAATAATTCTTCTTATGCTCCTGAAATAGAAATAAAAGTGATCTCACAGACGAAAAACTCTCCATGACTGGGTCACTGCAGAAACGCTCACTCAATTCCAGGTTAGACTACTTGCAACCTTGCCCGCTGTTTTCAAAATAAGAAAAGGAGGTTTGTTGGTAATTCTTTCTTCCCTTTAAATAGTATTTTTCAACAACTGTGTAAATTTACTAGAATTTATCAACTTGTACTTTTACAATGGGTGAACTGTATAGTATGTAAATTATACCTCAATAAGGCTACAGAAGATAACTTTTTTTTTTACAAATAAACCACATAGTGTTCTCATAGTGTTGCCTTTTTTTAAAAATGTATCTTTATACTTCAGAGAGGAAGGCAGAGAGAGATAGAAACATCAATGATGAGAGAGAATCATTGATTGGCTGCCTCCTGCATGCCTACTGAGGATGGAGCCCGCAACCCGGAATTGCCCATGAGGCATGTGCCCTTGACCGGAATTGAACCCGGGACCCTTTAGTCCGCAGCCCAACGTTCTATCCACTGAGCCAAACCAGCTAGGGCTCAAGCTGCTTTTAAAAGTTGGATAATAACAGTTTGAATAGTTTTTTTGATTCATTCCCCAGAGAGGAATATTTAGGCTTAGTACTGTTATCCTTACAGATAATAGCTAGCCCTACAAGCACAGTAGGCACTCACACACCTTGTCAACTGAGAAACTAAAAGTAAAGTAAGGTAATATAACAGGATAGCAGTGGTAGGGAGCAGCACTCCAAGTCCGAGCTATGTGATACTTTCTTTTTACTCCCTTACCAGGTGTAAGCAAGGTAAATCTCAGATCTATACGGTAATACCCATTCTCCAAAGTGGTCATTCTAATGCCAATTAGAAAATTTTTAATTGCCATCTAACCCACTGACTATCCATGATTGTTAAAAAAAAAAATCACTTACAAATTAAGTCCCATGCCAATTGCATCTGTAGCAACCAGGATTTTGCATGGATCATCAGGATCGTTAAACTTTTTTGCTTGAGCAAGTTTGGTCCCTAAAATAAGAAGTTTATGTTAAATCAGTGTTCTCAATCTTTTACTGTATCACACTAAGTGTATCTTAAAAACCCTCACCCCCTACTTTC